TAAAACGGTGTCCCGACCGGTGATATTGTACCTGAATGATAGTACTAGTCAAAGAAATTATAACGATAACTCCGTAGAAGACTGCCTTAGGTTATATTTGGGACATGCTGCACTTTCGCTAGTTCCTTTGCCAATTCATATTAAGTGACAGGTATAACTTTGGTGAGACCAGCAAACTTGTGTAGTTGCGAAATGAGCCATAAAATTGAACCACTATGTTTGCAGAAATTTGCAGGTCTCACAAGATGGTGTACCCAAGTTTTGCTGAATATCATTTGGTGCTCCCACAGAGCGAACTGCCCTTATTTTTTTATTTATCTTTCCTCCAGAAAGAAATTGTCTAGAGAGTTTGACTGTGAAAGGTAGAAGCTTTCGACGTTGATGTGTCATCTTTTGAGATGCGCCAGGCATCCTACTTCCACTAAAAACCATAGTGGCATCGCGGATGCGATTTGCTATGAGCTTCCCTGCAAGAGTGATAGGATCTGATATTATATCCCTTGACCCGAATGCCGTGGGTTGTAGGGTGGCCCTTCATTTCTATAACCCACGAACTTTCTAACCTGTAACCGAGACAGAGTCCATAATTCGCCCATTCAGGATCACTCTTGTAATAGGTTTGGTTGACACCATCAAGCACAACGTGTCTCAGCATCGACGGCATTTCCTCGGGTTTCTTGCCAGAATCTGAACATGCGTCGTACTGCTGCAGTCTTGGACAGTTGACCACCGTTCCGAAGAGAAAAAAAACGTACAACCAGCTGGAGGTGGCTTCTTTTTTCCTTTGCCTCGTTGTGCGACAGGAGTTGCAGGTATAGCGACACTGCGCGGGTACCGTTTCTCGCATCTGCAGTGTTTAATCAAGAAGTGAAAATAAAGTTACAATATTGGCGGTTTAGATGTTGAAAAACCCACTTTTCATGACATTCTTCTTTGGAGAGGAAGTTGTTTCCACTTTTACCGCATCCAGTGTAATGGAAACCTTTACATTGCCGTGAACGCTTGTTGAAATAGTATCTAAAATCCGAAGAAATTAGTCAATTTTTGACATCCTGACGATGAATAGGGGTTCTGTATTACAAAGGGCACGTCCTGTTGCTGAAGAGAACTCTTGCAGAATGCGACCGCCCTCTGAAATCCCCCCGCCTCTCTCTTGAAGCCCCTTTTCACTTCCATCCTACGTTCAGTGGCTTTTCAAGAACCTCCTACCTTTCCGAAAAGCGTGTCCCAGTTATTACCCCCAAGAAAGTATGTTTGAAGTATCTACCTAATCAGAAAATTATGTATGAAATACTACCTAATCTTAAGGAGTTTCGACAATTTTTTGACATAATAACGAGGGAGGAGTGGGAGGTCGCCACCAAACAAGTGAGAGTAGCTATCGTAGTTGTATAGAGCTTAGGACACCCCCTACCCTTTGCGAGGCGAGCAAAAATAACATGTTCCCGCCGGAGTTGAAAACAGACCGCTTTGAAACAGGAAATCAGCTAATCACAAAAAAAAATTAGCGCAACGTACCCTCCTCCTTCACTACGCCATAAATACCCCCCTCCCTTGGGAATCTCAGCGTACGAAGTGCTCGGATAACCACGGCGCCGTCACTTAAATATCTCGAAAAGCAACTAGGCTACCACTCCCCATATTCCTTACCAGACTTGGTTGATTCGTGAATTGTATCAGAAGATTAGAAAATGCACGGTTTGCAGGCTTCTGTCAACTCGGACGTGCTCTCGCTGTAAGGACAACACAGTATTCCTTTAAAACTGGGCACTTACTGGCCGTGTTGAAGGAAAGAAGCAAAAAAAGGAGAATGAAAAAAGGGAGGGGAAGACAGGAAAGGAGGAAGAAAAAAGGAAGGACGAGTAAGGCTTCGCGGTTGACAAGTTTCTCCACATGTATTGTGATGTTGAGCTACGACAAGGAGGGGCATGACCTTATCTTGCCTTTACAACTGGGTTCGTGATGCCATCTTCAAAAGAATGCGGTCGTTGCTCACTTCGTGAGCCGCCGGCCGTGATAGTTACCTGATTGTAAGACCAAAGATAACCAATGGAATGGCCTGAGTTATGAATAACGTACCTGTTTGACATTGCCTCACACCAGCTTCCTCTGTCCAAAGGTTCCAGACATGGATCTGAAACCGCAGAAATTTGTCCTGTTCACCATGTAACAACATCTTCGACACAAAAGACAAAATAATTGTTGACTGTGCGCGGTCAAAGATAGTTATGGGGTAATAACGTCAAAGAAGAGCGTTTCAGCCTTGCTCGTCGCGTGTTCTTCGTACACTCCACATCTTGGGGAGAGAGAGTGAGAGGGCGTGGTTATTCATCGCTTGGTCATAGATGTGGTCCCGCTTTCAGTGGCTCGGTACTGCCGTTTTGAGGCAGCGGACATACGTTATTTGGCGAGCACACGACAAAATAACAGTCGCCTCAGATGCAGATATCCCTCGAAAAACGCGTCGCCATGTCCAGATGAGGTACGTAGCAACGCCTACTCCATCTTGTGGAAAAGGGAGTGTAAATGCACGAGATTGTAACTCTTACTGTCCATTTCGAAGACATTCCTTCTTTACTTACCTAGTCCTGACACTTCGCATGTTTTCTGACATAGTTCAAATGTTTCGAACTTGTTGGGATTTCCTTCACAGCCTGAAATCGGTAACCTTTCAGATCGATGCTATTTGGTGGTGAAGTCCACGTCGAGTCAGGTCTATCACAGTGTCTTCTCTATTGGTGCACTGCCCCTCTTTACCGACTTAGAGAGAATAGTGTACCAATGAGGGAAGCACGTTGACATGAGTGACTCCAC